TGTCGCTAACAAAGCTCTAACATTAACAGATAACCATTTACATCATAGTCTATCTGCTCATCTCTGTACTGGTCTATACTATCCCCTTCTTGGAGGCACATCTTGACATGGTGAGGGGTTTTTGAATGTGTCAGAAAAGCTGAGAGGAGTCCAGGCTGCATTGTGAGCCTGGACTACTATCAGAGTCACCCAAGGTTCACAAGGTTCACAGCTGAGACACCAGGCTAGATGGATCTAACTTTGTCAGGAGTAACAGCTGCATCAGCAGAAGAGAATGGATCGTTCCAATGGTAGTGGGCGCGGCAGCTACTGGGCAGCAACGGTAGCTGAAGGTGGAGGAGGCAACAGTGGTGATGCTCAAGCAACTTTTGTAAGTACTGCACAGTACTAAAGATTAGGAATGCTGAATTACCAAGAGGGAAGCACACTCTCTGACCAGGAGAAAACAAAGAGAAGGTGGAAACAGTACACCAAAGACCTATACAGAAAAGATGAAGAATGGCAGACTCATTTGAAGAGGAATTCTATGATAAAAAACTCCTGCAGTTCTAGAAAGTGAAGTGAAAACTGCTCTTAAAGCACTAGGAAGAAATAAATCAGGGGTAGATGGAATATTAAGAGAACTATTTCAAGTCACAGAGACTGAATCTGTCAAAATCCTAATAGGAATACGCCAACAAGTATGGAAAACAAAACAATGGCCTACAGACTGAAGGTGTTCAATATACATCCACATCCCCAAGAAATGATATGCCAAGGAGTGCAGTAATTATAGGACCATTGTTTAATTTCCCATATAAGCAATGTGATGCTCAAAGTGTTGTAACAAAGACTGTTATCTTATAGGGAGGGAGAAATACCTGATGTTCAAGTTGGATTCCAAAAAGGAAGGGGCACTGAAAATCATATTGCAAGTATTCCCTTGTTCACTGGCTACTGGAGTGCACAAAAGAATTTCAGACAATCAGTCTATGCTTTTCACAGGAAAGACTTTGACTATGTGGATCATGAGAAGCTACGGATTTTTCTGAAAGAAATGGGTATGCCTCAGCACTTAACTGTCCTGATGCGCCACCTGTATTGTGGAGAAGAAGCTACCATTAGGACAGAATATGGAGAGACAGAATGGTTTCCTATAGGAAGAGATGTCCAACATAGGTGCATATTATTCCATTGCCTGTCCAGTCTCAATGCAGACCATATCCTACAGAGAGCCAGAGTAGATTCAGATGAAGGAGGACTGAAAAATGTTCGTAAAACTCTCAGATGAAGGAGGACTGAAAAATGTTCATAAAACTCTCCAATAATTTAAGATATACAGATGACACCATCTTACTGGCAGAAAGGAGCAATGACTTGAAATGACTTTTAGTGAAAGTGAAGGAAAAAAGTGCCAAGTAGGACTGTAGTTAAACATTAAGAAAAAATCGTGACTACAGAAGAACTACTTTAGTAGCTTTAATGTTGACAAATTAAGAAATTGAGATTGTTACAGATTTTGTATACCTTGGTCCAATCACCAATCGAAATGGAAACTTCAGCAAAGAAATCAGAAAAGACTGAGATTCGGAAGGGCAGTCATGAGGGAATTAGGGAGGGTCACTGGAGACCAAGATCATCCACATTCTTGTACTTCCCATCATCATATATGGGTGTGAATGCGAGACAATAAAGAATGCTGACAAGGGGGAAAAAAGATTCATTTGAAATATGCTCCTGGGGGAGAGCTTTGCAGATACCTTGGACTGCCAGAAAGAAAAATTAGTGGATCTTAGATCGACTCAAGCCTGAACAATCTCTGTAGGCAAAAATGATGAATCTGAAGCTTTGAGCACTTCACAAGAAGGCAAGAGTCTTTGGAAAAGACAATACAGTAATGCTGGGAAAATTTAAAGGTAGCAGGAAGAGAACCAGATACAAGACGGATTGCTTTCCTATAGCCTTGAGTTTGCAAGGACTGAGCAGGGCTGTTAAGAACAGGACAATTTGGAAATCACTCTATCATAGGATCAACATTAAGTCCTAGGCCATTTGATGGCATGTACAACACCAGTTCTGCTGGGTGACTCTAACGCAGGCTCTTGGGGAGAGGGGCACATATAGTGTGGGCCACACCAACAGTACTGTTCAAATAAGGAGAAAAGACATCATGCAGCAGAGGCCCTTCAAATGAACCTTCAGGCTCCAGATCTCCAAGGCTCAAGTGCCAAACTAAGAATTGAGCACTACTGAGTACAGACTTCTGAGTAAATGTGCAGAGGGCAGCAATGGTTTTTTTTAAAGCCTGCTGCAGCAAGTGACATAATTCTACTCTTGAACTCACACATTACAAAAATAAAGCATGTGAATAAAAGAGTTCTTGCAAAACAAAGTGCCAAGAGGTTTATTTCTTGAGACTGAGGATGCTTCCAGATGAACCAATCCTAGTGCTTCTAATCAAAAAAGGTTGGACAATTAGTCTGGTTCCCCTTCCTTTATATCTTTGTGGCTAAACAATATGGAAGAAACTGTGAGAAGAAGGAAATCATAAGATCTGGAATAGCACAATAAAAGCCTCATCTGTTAACTACAAATCAATTCTTCTCCATAGTTTGCAAC